CTCGGCTCCTCTAGCTTGCTAACTACAACCAAGGAGAGCATAAACCAGCTGAGCTTAACCTTACCAGAAAGCATGCCAGCAAATCCTCCCTTTTCTTACTCTGGCACTATGTGGGCAGATGAAGAGGAGGCCAGAAACACAGGCTCAGTGCCAGGTAACAGTTGCCTGTGCTAGAAAAACATTTTCTTAGGAACTTCCACATGATTCCAAATCCTGTGTGCTGGACTGATGGCACAAACAGGAATTTTGGCCTCCTTCTTCTGCAAGCTAAATTTAACTACATCATCTCTAATTGCTTTAGTTTATTTTTACGCCTTTCTTGAGTTGAGACAGCAGGTTCATTAAGTAGAAAAGACTTCAGCCTTGCTCCAGGAACTCATTAAATACCTCACTGCATGAAAAGGGAGGAATGCAGGGGCCATCTGCTGGCTGCCTGGCACATCACTGCTGGCCACAACCCCAGAGTCAGACCAAGGCTGAGAAGATGGGAAAAACAAGCCAAACTCAGCTCCCACGCCAGAAAAAGATGTAGCGTAGGAAATACTCTAATTTTTACAGTTGGTTTTTTTTTTGTTTTTTTTTTTTTTTTTAATCTATGGTAAAATGAGAAGGGCTAAATGCTCAGTTCAGTTGCCTTCACCCAGGTATAAGTGTAGTGACTGCTTTAGTGTCAATTGGTCACAAAGTGACTTAAAGTTACAAGATCAAGATTCAAGGAATACAGGTATGGAAAAACTCAGTTACTGCATCAAGATCACTTAACTGAAATAAGATTTAAGTTTAAGTCTAAGAATTTCACCTGACATCAAGGAGCTGAATCAAAGATAGATTAATATAAAAAACACAATCCTGCCAATTTTGAGAAAGGTTATAGAGCCTACGTTTGCAATTTGGAAAAGACAGTGTCTGCATGATGTATTTGTTAAGCCAGAATGATTGCTGCATGCTCGAATGTTTTTGTTTAGTAAGCCAGCTGTAAGGCTAAGCTGCAATAAGATGATGATTACAGTAATATAATTACTAACACAAGGTTAGCCAAAGTGATTGTGTAGCCAAGAAAAATTAGATGCCTCAGTATGAGTCAATGCATTCATTTTCTAAATAGTTTGACTGTATGAGGTAGATAAAACAGTGTTTATAAGGTACTGATAACAAGGTGGTTCCTAATAGCTTTGGAACTCCGTGATCTTGTTCTGCCATATCACGGTAAAGCAAAAAAGGTAAACAGAGAATCAAACTGTAGCCCTACTGTAAAACAGCCTTTTGTCCCAGTAATGTAAGAATTTAAGAAAAACTGACATTTGTGTGGTAAATTAAAGGTGGATAAGAAGCATCAGGGCCATGAGCACCACCCTCTGCAGCAGTTCAGCTGCCTGTGTTCAAAGCCAGTTCTGACACAGCACAGCTGGGTAACTTCTGATGCTGCTGCTGCAAGAAACAAAACCTGCATGAAGCCTCCGCTGGGCCACTTTCTTTTTGCTTTTGAGCTGCATTTAAGCTGAAACACTTACTTGTCCTTGACCCAGCTACACTGCAGGTACAGCTGTGCCTGGCCATATGCTTCACTCATCTAACTCTGCCCCTAATTCACCAATCCGGCTTTGCTGCCTTGCTCTTGGACCTACCTCATCATTGCAGAGTAAGCAGCTGGTTACCCTCACTGGTCCTGATCTGCTCCTGTGGGCACTGCACTCCTTGACAGTGAGGTCCCCATCCCTACCTGCCTCGCTGTCACCTTTAGCTCCTGGTGCGCTTTCCCTTACAAAGCAACCTGCTTGTGTTGCTCCCTAACAATAAAATAAATAGATAGATCAGATTTGAGCCAGGCAAAAGCAACTATTATTACTTGCATCCTACCAACATGTCAACGTAATATGGAAATCAACATTAGTACTAAGCTACTCTATCATAATAGACAAGATCCATTAAATGACAGGCCAAATCCATTGTAACACTATAACACAATGGAAAGAACAGCAGTAATAGCAGGGTAGCAAAATCTTTGGCTACAGCAAATGAGGATAAGCCCAAGTGCAGCAGCTGTGGGCACAGACACAAAGGAAACAGTCAGCTTACCCTAAGAAAGCTTCAGGTAGGCAGGGATCTCCAGCAAATACCTTCACCTCCACTGCCAACCTTTAAATGAGGGCTGGAAAGGTGGGGATCCTGGCCCCAGCCCTTCCAGTCACTCAATACATTGCATGCACCTGAGCTCCCCTGGGTTGGCCCCCCAGGTGCTCAATCACTGCTTTAAGTCTTGATTTAACATCTCCACTACACCCATTTTCTCTTTACACCTTCCACATATCTGCTTCACATGCTGCACAACATTCCTTCTCTATCTCCCTTGTAAATAATACTCAGCTCAAACACTTGACCAAAACCTACATGTTACTTTAAGCTATTAATTCAACCTGACCTTACAGCACAGATTACGTCAGTGCTGGCTTTCAGCAAAACAGCAGATGCTTAAATCAGCTCTGAACTGGATCTAAAGGTTAAAATGTGGCTAAGGGTCTGTTTTCAGAAGAAAGCTACTTATGTCAGCCTTAAGTTTCAGTGAAAGTTGTGGCGAGGGCAGAATAAGCAAATAAATAAATTAGACTCCACCATGCATTTTTGAAAGTAAGATTTGGGTCAGATTGCATGAGCAGTCTGCATTTTTGGTATCTGAATGACAGGTAGAATTCAGAGAATGAAACTGCCAATTTTCATGGGAACTGGATACTTGCTTGTCTTGAAAATGCAAAAATGCCACTGCATATCAGCCCCCTCTTTAGATGCTGAAAGACCCCGAAAGTGAACTCTTGCTATCTCAAGTCACCCGTGCAGCTTTGAAAGTGTTCTTTGCAAACCCGATCCTTGCTTATTTTAGTGCATCCTACAGAGTGCAGAGGACTGCAGAGCCTGACTGAACTAGGTTAAAACCCAGCAATATTAAATCTGAATTTCACTGCTTTTACATTTTAGAAAAGAACTCTAATGTAACTATAATGCAGCTTTTATTCTGTATTTTTTCACATTTCTTTCTGAGCGCCTCAGCTCCACTAATTACAGACTTTCTAAACTTCCTCTCTGATTATTATTCAATTATTTATGTACATTAAAAAATGGTCAGAGGAATTCTGGAAACTATGACAAGTGTTCCAGATCTGAACATCTATCATTGCCAAAACAAAGGACTCGAAAACAAGTTTCAAAGCGTGCTACTTTGTCAAACATTTTTGCTTCTTCTTTGGGTATACATGTTTATATATAGATATTAGATATTTTCACTGAGAGAAGCAGCTGCCAAATTACAGCTTCTTTAGTTTTAAGTGTCAAAACATTCTAGTTTTTCTGCCTTCCTGTGTACAGCTGAGGGAAAAAAAAAAAAACAACAGAGAAACCTGCTCTAACTCAAAGATAAAAAAGGCTGCTGTCAAGACAAATTTCAAGTAATCTTACAAATGACTCGCATTTGATGGATGATGCTGATCCATTTTTCATTCTTAATTTTAATAATGAATATTGCTGAAGAAGAAATAAGAGCAAAGACGCAGTAAAAAATAGCTGCAGTAAAAATGATGGGTTGTACTGCTTTTGTATCTATCAACAGTGCCTCGTAGGTTTGGGCACGTTTCCCCCACGCACTCTGACCATTGCTGTAGGGACCAGCCAGCAGTTGGGCCGCATCAATTAGCTTATGATGCTGCCTTGACCGACTGGCAGTAATATGGTTAAAGCTATGAGGGGTACATCTGCACTGTGATTCATTTACAGGGAGACTACAGGGTAGGTACACCCTGAGCTGCACTCGAGAGAAGCCGCAGTACCAGGTCTTTATCTTCATTTCATTGGCGTCAGTGCAGCAAATATGGGAAACGATCAAGATGCAGAACAATCCCGTAATCGCTTGGTACGCTGCAAGGAATGAGTTAGCAAAGCTCAAGTACATCTCTGATGAGAAAGTGCCTGCATCTTAATGAGGGCTAACTGGAATCTGGAAGCACCTCCCAGCAGACTGAGAAAGATGCAAGTCTGAGGGCTGGGTTCACAACCTCTGCAACCTTCAGAACAGGGACCAAAGGTGTTAAGGGAACAGAGCCCTGTGCAGTGCACTGTCCATTCCAGAGCAGCTCGATACAGGAGGAATTCACCTGCTACTTTGTTGGTCCTGTATTTCTTGACAGCAACTAATCCAACATGAAAAGTGAGCTCTTAATCTGCAGAAATGCAGCATTCAATTCATTAAAAACCAAGCACAGCTGAATAGTCCAGCCCTGAGCTTAGGTCACACTGTATCAGTGCTGTTGGTCCAGATAAATCCTTACCGTGCACCTGTGGACAAACTGTGCAGCCTATCTTCTCTTACATTCTCTGCTCACTGAAATCAGTGCAAGGATGAATTAGGATTACACATACAAACCTTCTCTGAAGGAACCCTGCTCTGTTCCCTGAGCCACGTTTTAGGAAAAAAACAGGGTAATTTCATGTTCCCCTAATCAGGGCTCCAGCCAAAAGCCAGATTTATTATTTAAATCACAATCCTCAATGAGAGTTTATTTAAAAATGCCCACAGAAGAGAAGTACAAAGCTGCTAGACAGTACTCAGCATAGGCTTTGTTTCAGAAGTACAACAATGAAAACATATTTTTCTAAAAAGTTATGAAAGATCATGTGTGAAAGTCTGGCTCCAGCAAAGGAAATGTCCCTGAGCCTGGTGACTTCAGCAAGCCAGGACTCCTGCCATGCCCTCTGCCATGCCCTCATACACCAAGCCTGGTGGGCAGCTATGCAAGGAGCACACTTCATACAGGAGAGATGAAAGAAATGTCACTAACATGAGAGGAGAGCTGTAGGACTGCTTGTCCACCCAGGTAATGCTGCTCTACAAAAAACAAAACAACATCCCACAGATTTTAAATAGTGCAACAACAGTGACTTCTTGCTTCTAGGACCACATCTAATTTGGCCAGGAAGTCACTCTGAAAGGGACAGTCCTATGCTGAACTACTAACCATGTGGAACAGAACAGGTGCTTTCTCTGCCATGGGCTGCTTTCCAGAAACAGACTGAGGCTGCCATCTCTCCAGCTGCTCCTGGAATCTGCATCTCACGTGCTTCTCTTTCATCTGTTCTTCCTTTTGGGATAGCTCTCTGTTACTTTCTTCTGTCCTGAAAAATATACAGATACTTCTTTGCTTTAACTTTTTACTTGGGAGAAAGACACCCTTGTTCTCCCGTTTACATTTTTTTCCCTTATATTTATACCATACACTTGAGGGTGAATCATGATTTGAAAGGCTAGAATAGTCTTAAAAAGCACTTATGGTGTTGGAGGTAGAGGACCACAAGAAATTGTCATCGCTTAAACTGTCTATGTAAAAATAGCAAAGGAAAAGAGCAGACCTCAAACCTCTGATAAGTGGTGACAACTGGCTGGATACCAAAACATGCCAGTTAGCAGAGACTTGTTCAAGATTTCACTCCCTTTCCCCTCACCAAAATAGTTTTCTGACTCTGTTTCCTTTTCTATGTGCTAAACAGCGACGAGTTTTCCCCGAAGCAAGACCTGCCTTTCTGTATTTTGATGTCTGCAGCAAGATTTCATCTGCCATTTCCACAGCAAACACTAAGTTCAATTTCTTCACAAGCTTGCAAGCCTCAGGTACCCAATGATTATAAGAAAGAAAACTGAAATTTGCTAAAACCATCCTGATGTTTTACTCAGCAACAGCTTGCCAAGCCACATCTATGTGGCAGGCTAACAGGCAGACAAAATGGTATTTTACAGAACTGATAGCAGCACTGAGCTTTAATATCAGGAATCACTTGACAAAACAACCCACAGTGAACCACGTGCCATTTAAACCAAGTACATGTTAGCTGTAGTGTTTAAGTGGTAGGCAACTGTTAACACTGAAAAAGTAAGGCTCTGGAGCAGGCAGATTATAATCTTTTTCCAAGGGCTTATGAACCATATCAAAATATTAAGTGTCATGCTGAAAACAGTGGGCAGAATATAACTCAGCAAAAGGAGATCTCCCAAATAGATGGGCAGGTGCACAAGTTGGCCACCTGATCTCGGTTTGAAATTAGACTTCAGGCTGAATGCACTCCACTGAGCCTGAGGAATAACTGGAGCAAGCTCTCTGATTGCCTCAATTGTTACTGTTTCTCCTTTTTAGCTTTCTGGAGTGTTCCTGTGGTATAACCAGCTCCTCGTGGTTACACTTTGCTCTCTGAGTTCTTTCCCTTCTTTTCTTCATGACAGTTAGAATTGCTTTGTTCAGGGGAAATGAAGATACAGGGAGACACTATACAACTTCCAGTTTGCACAGGTATTTTTTATGCCAAGAAAGGGAATAAGTCATTTTCCATGTTATCAGGAATGCAAGAAGTAATAAAGTTAAATTGGAGCTAGGATAATTTAAATTGGATGAACTGCTAGCTTTCAAACTGTAAGAATAATCAAGCAGTGAAATGTACTACCTGGGGAGACAGGGAATCCTCACCATTGAAGATTTTGAGATTAGGTTGCATAAAGATCAGGAAGAAAGGATTAGATTGTAGCTCAGCTTACACTGATGCAGAGGAATAGACAATTCCAGATCCATTTTCTATGATACTTTGTGCAGTAAATCTGTTTTATCCTTAACAATGCAGATCAATGCTGTTATCCTCCTTTTATCTAGGTTCAAAACCTAGAGGAAGTGGTCAAACTTACTAGGTCTAATCTCAGTCCAATTCTCTGATCTACTAAGTCTGTCTGCATCCACAATGTTCTACAACAGCTGCCAGGCTTAGCTGACTTCCTAGGTAAGAAAACCAGACAACCTTCCGCTCCAACTCACATCCCATGCAAGTAGTGTTCTTTAATCTCACACAATCTGATAAGCCATAATGAAAATCACTGGTGACTTTTCTTGTGTGATACCTTGGAAATTCTTTTGTAGGTAGAGAAGATTCTGAAGCGCTTCCTGAATGTTGAACCTTCTCAGCTTTCATTATATTTTTTGTTCCTATATCAGTTCCATTGTCTCTCTGGCTTGACGAGGAAGAATTTCTTTTCTCTGGCTCCAGCCTCACCAGTTTCCTGGTAATGACCTCATTCATCCCTTCTCTCACTTTAAAATTTTGATTTTGACTGACTTTAAAGGCATCCATCTCTTCCAGACTTTCTGGATCCTGTTTTGTGCCCTTGAGTCTTCCAGCTGGGGCAGATGCTTTGTGAAGAACCTCTGAGGCCTCTTTACGGGCTCTACGGAGTTGTTGCAGTAGCTGACACTTCCCTGACCAATTCTTCCTGCTAATAAAATAAAGATTTAATCAACATAGAGCATTTAAAAAAAAGCCCACACTGAAGAATTTCTCATGAGGGGCATCTTAAAACAAGGATGGGTTATCAACACAGATAATAGTCTTTGATAGCAGTACCAGCACATAAGCAACAAACAAGACAGTGACAGAACATGATCTGATCTTATTGGGAATTTGTTTCCCTCCTCTGGATTACAGTCAGTAGAGAATTAGTATAAGAGCCCTGAACAAAAGGCATGTCAGCATGGAAATCAGTGTCTGCAAATTTCTGTCCTCTTGGGATATGAGCATTGGAACTCAAACACACATACAGGAAGAGTCCATCTAATAACTCACTGCATTTTGAGGTGTTTAGCTTCATTTCACCTGTGTCTCCTCCCAGTCCATGGGGTGTTGAGCTGTTAGTAGTACAATACTGTGATTGTTCTCCCATGTGAAGTGCCCTATCATGACAGGGTAAGCAAATAGGGCTCTTCTGCCTTGTAGCTCTGTTCAGCAATGAGGCTCCCAAGTTATCTACTACAAAACTGCCACCAATTTGCAGCTACTCCTAAGTAGCAGCTGATAAGAACAAAGAAAATCCAGAAAGCACTTTTTCCTCATTAAGAAACTCATTTCTCCAGCCATTGTATCAACATTTAACATTGACAGCTGCAGCATTAAAGAGCATTAAAGATTCCTAAGCAATACAGGTACATTAACCCCTTCCCACTGGATACCAAGGTCAGTAGAAAAGAATTGGTCATGGCATCAAGTCTTCTGGAGTTCAAGTTTTGTGCAGTGTATGGGGCTTTGCTTAATTGCCTCCCAAGTTAAACCACAATAGTTTGGACAACATTCTCAGAAGTATGGTTTGATATTTGGGTGGTCCTGTACAAAGCCAGGACTTGGACTTGACGATTCCTCCCTTCCAACTCAGACATTCTATGGGTAGTACAACATTCCCTGCATTTACAAGACAAAGAACTCAGATCCTGAGCTGTGAGTGGAATTCATCTGCACACGTGTGGGCTGCCAGTGATTACTTTCCTGCTGTTTTTTCTTTTTCTCCTTCCTGAATCTAGAAGAATGTCCTGAAACAGTCAGAGTTGCAGGTTAACACCAACCTCAGGCCTTCGAGCTCTACCACAGAGTAAGTCAGACAAGAACAGAGCAGGTGAGAAAGAAAGAAGGAAGGATTCTACCGACACATCTGTAAGTTCCTGAGTGTTGCTGACCTTTATTTCTAGTAAGAAAACCAAATTTGCCTTGTGCTCTCCTGCCTGCTTTAGTAAAGTCAGAAAATAAAGCAGGAATTTTAGGATGGAAGCATGTATTGGACAACGGCCTTACAGCACAGTGCTAGGGACGGCACTGATCATCTGAGCACTCAGGGGATAAATTAACAGTGGTTTTCTATGCTAAGAAAGTGCCCAGCTATCATCACTCTACTTAAGGCCCTAACATGGAGGCACATTGTGCTACAGAACATGCAGCTCTGTTTAATAGCTCCATCCAGGTAAGATGGAAAATGGCACCGAACTCACATTAAGGAGATTAGCATCTCACCCTTCTGAGATGAGGCTTTCTTATTTAGAAACAGAACTGAATGTTTGCCACATGTTTCATGTGTATTTACTTCAGCAACTTTAAAACAGATAAAAATGCACTCAGCTAAGCTCTGCTCTCCATCACTCCAGATTTACACTGATGTAACTTCTGCATTTGCGTCAGTGCCAGCGAGAGTTCCCCAAGCAATCTCTCATCCCTGCTTTATGCTGGTTTGGGATTAGATGTTACAAACTATGCTGAGTAGCTGGCTTTGTTCCTTGTCGAATCATTTGTTCTTTCAGACTACTTAAAAACAAAGGCAAAACAATACAGAATGTTCCTCTTTGCCCACTGCACTGCTGAAACGCGAACTTCCATGCACCAGGCTTCTAAATATAACACAGGATAAAAGCAGTCAGATACTTAAGATCCGACATACCTACTTCACGTTAAAGGGATGAATAACCACCTATGAGTATGAATCAAGGCCTGAATTTAGTAACAGGAAAGGCCTGGCATCTATGCCTATTGAAGAATCTACAGTGCAGGATTCCATAACTGTACATAAGAACACATGTAAGAACAATTAAGGGGAGCTGTGAGCATCCCTGCCCACACAACGTATTCAATGCTTAAACCAACATTCCAGCTTACTTTATTATTTCTAAAAATAAAGGTGTGACTGAGTCAATTCCCTACAGCATTTTGAAAGTAGGGTTTTGAGTCTTTTGAAATTTAAAACAGCTCTTACAGCACTCAAACCTGCCTGTAGAAAGAGCCAGGTTTCCCAGCCACTCATGTCTACTTTCTTTAAAGTGTTGTCACGCAGCTGTAAAGAGGCAAGGTGCCACACAGCCTCAAACACTGACAGTTGGTGTCAGACTTCAGTATCTTTAGCATGCAAGAGAACTCTGGGTCCAGGCTGAAACACTTCTGTTATTAGGCTAGACACTTCTGATGTAAATACAAGAAACAGAGATACTTTCATGTGTGAGCTCTCCCTCTAATCACTGTTAAAGGAATAATTTTAATTTCAGAAGTTAATTATCACATCACTTGAATTATGGTCAAGGTAAAGAATCTTACATTTTCCTCTCTTCTTGGTCCATAACAGTCACAGTCTCATCTTCATCAGTGGAGCTGTCACCTGCACTATGAAATAAATTGGACAGTGTTCAAACTGAGCATTGAATTGTGGCCATTTCCAAGATTTAAGTTTTAGGGCCATCAGGAAAAAGAGGAGAGACTTTTTGGGCAGATCTCTAGGCCTTATTGATAGTTTCTAATGTTATTATCCCAGAAAAAAAAAAAATTCAAGCACCCCTAGGTCATGTGTTAGCTGCACTTTGCTCTTTATTAAAAAGGGTTCTCATAAACATGCATCCCAAAAAGGGAGCAGAGCTATCTCAGGCACCTTCACCTCTAAGAAAAGACAACTTTGCTAGAATCTGTTGCAGATTGAGGTGAATTTGGTTTCCAAGAACTGACTATATAGGGCCTCCTTATCACATGGGAGACTGAGATATCAGCACCAACAGCTGCTTGCCATGAACATAGTCAAGCAAAACCATTCCATAATCAAAGCTGTCGGAATGCTAGCTCAATTCCAACCAACAGCTGCAAGCATTGCCTTGCAGTCACTGCTCACTTCTTCAGAGAATGGAAAACTTTCTAAGTGTTATTCCCTGGACAGTTTGCATGTCTTTTCTGTGTTTGTCTCCTTTCCTGCACCTGTACTTGTTCTGAGAAAAGTTATTCCTCTCTTCAGAGTACTTGCATGCTCTGCTATGGGTTATGCTTTCCTACTAAGGTCATAGAAGTTTAATTAAAGTTACAATTCACAAGAATGAAGCCTTCTGTCTGCATCCCAATTCTCCACTGATTGCTGCTGACTTCTCACTACTAACAAAGCCAGAATTTACCTCTGTTTCTCATCAGGGAACGTTACCAACTTCTGTGGTTCAGCATCTCTTAAATCTATGTACACAGTTAGAGGCTCTGGCAGGCACTGCAATCTCACTGCGTCCATCCTCAGAGAACTTGGTGAAGATGAGAGGAAGGCAACATCCCTAAGTAAAGAAAACACTGTTTCAGCATTTCCTGCACCTTATCAACACAAGATGTCCTGCGGGGCACGGATTACAATAAAAATTGGATTGTGAAAGGAGCTTAATGCTCAGCTACTGCAGTCTCTTATTCTGCCTACTATCCATCACCTTTCAGAACTGAACTGTAAGATTCAGGCTCCCCTAGGAATACAGATCACTGGCAGCATGATGAGGGATATTTTGTTCTTAAAAGCCAACATCATAAAACTACTCTGTAGAACAAAGGCAGACAGTTACAGTACCAAAGAACTTGTAAGTCTAAAAAGAGCCCAGCACAAATCAGCAAAGACAGGCCCCTTTTTCCTCTTTGCCTCCTTTGGCAATCCCATCTTATCCTTCGGAGCATAAAGAAAATGCAAATCACCTTCATGGCTTCCCCTGCTCTGGCAGCAAGGATGCTTTTCACCTTTCACTTAATAGGCTTGTTCCACTGTTACTTCCTGTTGTAACAATCAGAAGGATCAACGTGGTGGAACGGTGACAGAGGAAGCGTAATAACTAAGGGCAGGAGAAGTGCTCACCCATCTCTGAATGTCTGGGCTCACAGGGAAAAGTCCACAAGGAAAGGATCTCCAACCAAAGATCTTTCCCCAGTGGCAGTCAGCCCTTAAATGAGGTCTGAGAGGTGCAGCCAGGCTCCACCCCTTCCCCTCACACAGCTGAATTGCCTCCACCTGTGCTCCCAGGGCTGACCAGGTCCTTTCCCCAGGTGCTCAATCTGCAATTCAGGCTTTGACTCAGTAGGTCCCATACATCTCTGTACCACTACCAGTGATTTTGAGCAGTCTGGAAACCACTTTCCTTCACAAAAGACCCTGCAAAACACATTGACATCTAAATGAATACCTTAAAAGAGAAAAAAGGCATCTCACATTTCAGCTAGATTGGGAGCAGCAAAAGAAACTGCAAACCCTAGAAGTACCAAAGCTACAAAAAAAACCAGCCATGACCATTTGCTCAGCTTTGCTCCCCTGATTTCCTCAAGTGTGTCTGCTAAGATGTAGAGAAAACTCACATTTGGTGGAGAATGCTAAGGTAGCAGGATACTGACTGTTAAAAATCAAGCATATGTGAATGACCAAGACCTAGCTTCCTCCTTTAACACCGCTGTAGCATATTCCAGCTACAACATGAGCTTTTACTGCTAATAATGACTACCTACTGTATATGACAACTGGAGGGAAGGACCTACTTCTTGTTCTCTTGCTCTTCTTGAATGGAGATTTTGGCTGATGGCCACCTGCAGCGTAAAGACAATGTCCTGGATTGCCTGTCACACAGCTCTTCTAATTGTTCCATGAGCTGCTTTTCAGATCTACCTCTGAAGGTCTCTATAGGAGAACAGCAGAAAAAAATAATCATTTGTGGTCTTCTGCCATTGAACTGCCCAATATACCCTTTCACCATTGTACCTTTCTCTACAGCCAGAGAGAAGGGATAAAGACACCACTGTCATCCAGCTCTGACTAAACACACTGCAAACTTTTATCTGTCTTGCCTTGGGCCATTGCAGGCCACAGAGCACTGATTTCAAACCACAAAAGCAAGACCCAGAGGAAGCTTTGTGTTCTAAAGAAATTGTCAAAAAACCCCACCACCACTATCACCTCCACATCCAAGATGACGTAGCAGGGAATGAGAAATATACAAAACTGAGTTTTACTTGTTTTTACATATTTTCAGTGTAGTTGGTATTAGTTGAACAGCATTACCATAATCTGTTGAGGAGAAGGCAACTTCTGCATGAGTGTTATGTGTATTTTTCTGCTGCTTCAGCTCTGCAGAAGTCTTGTCTAGATCCCAGTTCTCGGTATTCTGAAAAACAACCAGACTGTGATGGAAAAATCACCATCAAAAGGCTGTTACAAAATAGAAGCTCCTTTAATTCAGCTCTTGGTGCTAATCTGCTTGGCTATTCTGCCATACATAAACACTAAATGCAGAAGTGTAACACTATAATGGGATGATAATAGTGGCAAAGTCCTTGGCTACAGCAAACGAGGAGGAGTCCAAATGCAGCAGCCATAGACACAGAAACAAAGGAAAGGAGCTGCATGCCTTTGGAAGGCCTCAGGTAGGCAGATATTTCCAGCAGGAGGTGCCCTCATCTCCACTGCCAGCCCTTAAATGAGGGCTGGGAAGGGGAGGTTCCTGGCTCCAGCCCTTCTGGTTACTCAGTGCATTGCATGCCCCTGAGCTCCCCTGGGCTGGCCCTGCCTTCCCACCAGGTGCTCCATCGCTGCTTCAGGCTGTGACTTAGCATTTCCACAAGCAACACATAAGTTCATTATATAATACAAACATTAAGGAAGAAATGAATAATTCAAGTGAATTGATATTACCATAGTGCTACAGAAGAGACAAGATGCTGGAAGGCCAAAAAGCTCATTGTTTTAACTAACAAAATAGATCCCTGCTTTCCTAGGGACAGATGCCACGGTTGGTGCTTGTGAATAAGATCACTAACCATGCTACTGAGCAACAACTTCTGCTACCATTATGGACACACAGTGGCATCCCCATGAGACAAAGACAGCTTCTTGGTAGGTTGCATAGCACGTGACCCAAGAAAACCCAGATTCAGGACATCAACAAAAGCAACAAAGTAAAATGCTGTCACGTGCAGAGTTTGGCATTTTGGTTTCTTATTTTAGCAGGATTCTCGAAGCAATACAGCAGCTTCTCTACTGAATGAGCAGCACTCCATGAAACTGCTTGGGCACCTACCTGCAGTGACAGATGGGTTAGTTCCTGAAGATGGCCAGCTGCAGAAGTTTCTTCTTTAGCACTTCTTTCCAGACTTCTGCTCATGCCACGTGAGGGAGGATTATTATTTAGCTCAGCGTGGCCTGGTGATGGCTCTAGAAATATTTTTGAGAGTATCTTTGTCTCTATCAGCTTTCTTCTCTCTTTTTTACTGCACAGTTCCTCCAATAACAATGATGTATTAAGGCAAGAGTTCCCTTTTTCCCTGGCTTGTTTCCTTCCTGGTTCTTCCTCTTCAAGGCCATCTGTGGAATCTGCAAGAGACTCTTCAAGAACAGCTTCCATTTGGCTTGGAATTTCTTCAGTATGGCTGGAAAGATTGGAAGCCTCGTCTTTAATCACTTGAACATATTCTTTTGAAATAACGTGAGCACCATCTGTTTGTTCCTGATGGCCAAGACTCTTCAGATCTCCATTCCATTTCTTTTCCTGTGTTTTCTACCAGTAAAGGAAATATATACATGCAAAAAGTTACATCTCCTGAGCTATAGGAGCTGACAGGAAACCAAAACAAATGATTGGCAGATAGCAGCTCTAGCTCAGTCACCATCTGGTAACAGCACAAACCACATCCACCACAGAGAGCAGTAAGACCTCACTTTGCAAAGACTACAGCTTTAGGATGTGCTAAAAAACATTCTTGACATTTATTAGCCCTCTATCTGCTCACCATACAACATTTCTTACACTGAGATTAATGAATGGGGAAAAGCAGCACAGTAAGTTGGCCTTCCCGTGATGAAATGGGTTCAGTTGGCTTCTCTTATAACTTCTTATGATGGCTAGTCTTCATCACTGCAGATGTAATGTAAACATTTTATCTCAGAATAGCAGTATAAGAGATAAGCTTCATACTGATCCTCATTAATATACTACCATAGTAATTCTTTTTCTGCATACACAAAGTAATGGCTGAAACTATTTCAAACCCTCAGAAACTTAGAAGCCACGGCAGTGCTTCTGTGAATGCACAAACTGAGGGTAGAACTCCTCAGCAGCTGAGCTGCAGGTAATTTTCCAGTACTGAGCTTATTACAGAAAGGTCCATAAAGTCAGTGAGCAGCATCTTTCTTCAGGACTTGGTGTTATTGTCAGCCTACAAGTATTTGTATGATCTTTCTGACTAGAAATTGGTGATTTGTATCTCAGTGTGCACTTGTTATTACGCAAAAAAAATTATACCTTCCCCCTTTTTATTATGTACATTATTCAGAACAAGATTAGATTTAGAAGCGACTGAAAAATTCCTTGAGAGACAGGACGATGAGCAAAGAAAAGGCTAGTTAGCATTTTAATAATAGAGGGTATCTGCGTCAGTTGGAGCTAAGGAGTGTCATTGTCTCAAAAATGTAAAAGGAAAATAAAACTAAGAGACGATAGCATGAAGAAAAGATCTAAAAAATGACAGCTTAAAAGGGTCACTAAAGGGAGAAGATCTAACTTCTGATGGAAGAAAGTACTGGACTCCATGCTCTTCTGTCACAGCACTCAGTCAAACTGGTCAGATAAAAGCAGCTGTTTGTATTGGAAACGGATGGAAGGGTGGGTTTACAGCAATACAGCCTGCACACAAAGGTCACAACCTGCATGTCTGAGTCTTCCAGGGAAAATTCCAGTAGCTCATCTGACAGGTCAGGAATTAAGTTGGGTTGCTCTCGCTGGAAGATGAAAAGCTCCCCATCACTCTCACAGTCAGACTATCAACGACAAAAAAAAAGAGAAGTTAAATGAAAACCTGTAATGTGACTTTCACCATTTTGTGGTGACAAACTCCATGCTGTCACCACCTGACTGACGTTCAGAAACCAGTTTTCTTTTCAGTTACACCTTCATTAGGCAGCCCGATAGCCCAGTGCTCAGGCTGCTTTACACTGACCTAACATCTGAGCAAACAACAGCAGTAGTTTATACCCAACAAATTAAAAAAAACAACAAACAAAAACACATCAGATGTGAAATTGCAGCACTCGGTTGGGCAGAATTTAAATAGCTTTGGAAAAAAACCCTTATCTGAACATAAGACAGGTGTTTGAGATCAACTGTTTTGCACAGACAACAGAAAGAGAATAAGCAGCTTCTCAGAAGCCAGGACCCAGCTTCCAGGCTTATCTAAGTATGCATTTTCCATAGCTCACACTTTGGAGAACTCCCTCTGGCATAATTATTTTTTCCTAACTGAGAGGAAATTCCAGTGCAACTTCTTTCCTTTTAATAAAATGCATTTCAGGACAATGAAAGTACTTCAAAACGTGCTGTTTGTCAGCACCTTCTCTCAATGTAGGAGCACAGCCCATCGAGGTACAGATCTCAGATGCATAAATGTATCTTCCCACAAGTGGAAACCTTTGGGACAAAGGTGCAGCTCTGAAGCCACAGGCTCAGCAAGCTACTGTTGTACAGTAAGCAGGAGAGGGATCACACAAGCAGACCTGAATGCAAATTAAAGGTAGCACATAAGTGCCAAGCAGACTGCTGCAGTTCCTTCAGCAGGAAATTTGTTCCACATGTGACAGAAGAATTTGGATGTTATTTATGAGTAAAAGAAAGAAAAAGGATTCAACATGACTTAGAGTTATAAATTATTTGGCACAAAGATACAAAATGATCACTTTGTCAGAACTTTTTTTGTACGCCTATAGAACAAGAATGACCAGAAATCATCCCTGAGTGCTGGCCCTAAATCTATACTGCATAAACACATATTAAAAAGCCACGGTTGCTTTAAGTAACTAAAATAGAATTTTCACCAGATTGTTGAGTCCTGTGAGCAGAGATCTTTAGCTGTCAGCAGGCAGCCTGTCCCAGCCATTGGGACCCAGCAAGTAAAAAAACAGCACGGTGAAAAATGCCTCACAGTTTCTATAAATCTCATGCTTTCTACTAAAAGGTTAACAGCATTATATTTCTTTGCAGATGGAATTAAAGAACAGAAATCAACAGTTGGCTACAGGCAGGGAAAGAAGTAGAAACCAGGGATCAAATATCTGCCAAATGCTTTTTCAGTGGACCACGAAGACTTCAGGAATACAACTGAAACCCTCAACTATAGAAAACCATGCTAACAGCCTACTGTCTGGACAGCACATTACTAGCCTAAATAGCACAATATTATCCAGGATAAAATCTTAGCATTTGATTTTAAGTCAGCTGTATGATTTTTTTCATGCTGTATTTTTGACCAAACAAGCTAAGAAAAAAATGTGTGGTCATTCTGCAAGATGCCCACTACCCATCTCTTCCTAACCTGGCATTATTTAGCACCTGGAAAAATTAGTCCCACCTTCAATTCCAAAGAATACAGTGAGAAAAGATGGTCATTATGCTTTGACTATTAGAGGTAAAATAAAAGGTTGTGGATTAATATACACACAACAACAGTCAGAATAAACAAGTACATAGAATCATAGTCGTAGAATCCTTAGAGTTGGAATGGACCTCTGAAGGCCATCTCATCCAACTCCCCTGCAATGAACAGGGATTTTTTTCTAAAAGCCAGTGAGAAAGACAGTCAGGTTGCCGTGCTTACTGTAGAAGTGTCAGAGTCCAGAGATGGGAGCTGATCTTTCACTGCAGCAAGTATATCTCCCCATCGAAACCTGCTGTTACTCCCAATAGGAGCCGTAGGAAGCTCAGATGGACGCTCAGCATCCTCACTTTGCCCTTCTGAGGCCATTTAAACATCCAACCTTCCACCAAATGAAAGCACACCTCAAGAGAGAAAAGGATAACATCAGTACAGAGCAAGAACAAAGCATGTGCACTCAGGGTCAACATAACCCTTAGTGCTCCCATGGTAGGACTGTGATTCCTTAGGGAAGGCCATTCTCACAGCTGCCCTGGCAGGGAGGGCTGCCCACCCTCAGCTGTTCCTTACTTCCCTGTTTCTCTCACATTCCCATCCTCACAGATTAAATGTTAGATAAAGTGGTTTATGCTGGCTTTTTTCACTGCATTTGTATCAACACAGTTGAGACCAGATGATCTATTACATTTTGACCTCTTAAAATACATTTAAGCTCCCTCTTCACGTTTCCTTCTTATGTGTAAGAGCAACCAGGACAGCTCAACAGGGCACTACTGCTGTTCCAACAAGTCAGAAAATTAACCCGCTCGTAAAAGCTTCACTTCTTAAATTTTGTTGCCACAGTTGTGTGGTTTCTAGGTCATCAAAATTGGGCGCGCATCAGTACCGTTCCTAAGAAAGGCGGGCAGCTTCGGGGCGTTACACCACCCAGAACCAACAGCTGCCAAGATGGCGGCGAGCGCTGCGCACGCGCACTTCAGCCGGCGCCTGCGTTGCCATAGCAACACGAGCAGCGCGGCCCGGCCCCCCTACCCTCACAGAGGCCCTTGGGCGCCTCTGAGCGGCGCAGCGTACGTCCCGGCCCCTACAGCGGAGCGAGGTGAAGAAAAGTAGCTGATAAACGGAGAACACACGGCGGCAGCACAGCACAGCCCCGCGCCCTGCTAGGGCTGCTTTCCCCTACCTCAGCCACCGCCAGGCAGCGCAACGCCTACTGCAAGCGCCCGCCCTGCCGCAGCGCTCGAATCTCATTGGCTGTTCGACAGCCCGCCCCTTGCGAGCGGCATCACTTATTGGCCCGCTGCCGTGGGGGCGGGGCTTAACTCTTCCGCCAGTTGGGACTCACAGTACCTAGCGGGCGGCGGGGCGGAAGTTCCCAGTATTCTTTGCGCGCGTTTCCGGTAGTGGAGCCCACCGGGCGTGCAGGTGAGGAGCGCGGCGCGTTGTGTTACCGCGCGGGGTCTGGCTGTCTGTAGCGGTCTGCTTGGCCAGCGCTGCGGCGCCCGGAGCCTCGGTGGGTCCCGCAGCAGTGCGGTCAGAGCGTTTCGCCCTGTCATGCCGACCCGCGGTGGGTATAGGCCTGGCCTGCCCTCCTGGGGCCTGAGGGCCCCTGAGGTTTTAATGCTGCTCTTCCAGCTCTTTTCTCTAACGTCGCTTCTTGGAGTTATCCGTCTGAGAGGGATGCTAAGGTGCTAATCACTGCAGACTTCATGACAGTTCTTACTGTTTCTTTTTTTCTTCC